ATGCTGAAAAGCCAACTTGAATTGGCACACACCAAAAATGCGCCCGTGTGTTGTTGGAAAAACATTTATTGCAATTCAGTGTCAAAAAGTTTTTACAAAAATATGCCACCGTCTGGTACAAACAACTATAAAAAAATCAATTCATCATGCAAGGCAAGTGTGCAAATAATTTACACAGAAGGACTTAGCTCACACAATATTAAATGAACATCTTTGCGTGAAATAAGACTAACCTTGTACTTTTAGTTACATGTCCAACCCCCTATAGCACTTTTTAGTAAAAGGAGTAAAGCTTCTAAGCTTAGGACATGGGCTTTCATGTGCATCCCCTTTAGCCAGGGTTATGGGCACTTGGTAGAACAAAGATGGTGCCAAGAGCTCTCAGGCCCTCGGTGGCAATCCATGGAGCCTTCTGTTTAACAGACTCGTGCCTCGTTAATTAAACAAACATTGCTCTACTCAGAGACTGAAAAAGTCACGTTCAAACTCCAGAAGTAATGTTGTAGCAGATGGAGTTTTAAGAAGTTCAGACATTTGGAATAGCCATCCATTTTTGGACAAATGGGGCAGGGCCGGGATTTTGGGAGCTTTCTCAGGAAGCTTTGTTTGCTGAGTTCAGGGACACTTTGAAAAATGTCCAGCAGACAAAGTCACAAGTATCTGTGGTCCCTTGCTCCTTGCTGCCTCTTGGAATAAAATAATCTGTCTTTGCTTGGTGAAGATGAGGTTTAGCAGAGAGTGGGATGATCCCCCCTCACCCCAGGATAGAAACTCCCCAGATCTGTTGGCAGGTGCTGGAGGGTGGGGAGGAGAAGGGTATGGATTAAATGTACTTCTTAGTCTGAGAGGAGGTACCTGCTTGCTGACCATCAGAACCTCAGTTTCTAGAAAGCAAGATGGCTGCTCGGCCATGATTTCTCTGCCATAAGGGCCACTTCTGTAATTAAAATGTGGGTACCCAGGGAAAAGTGAGTTTGTCAGAACGTGCTGCTTGCTCTGTGGCCAGCAGGTTGTACTCCCTAGAATGCTGTACTCACAACAGTGTCAGAGGTTTGCAAAAATGTTAAGTGGCTCCAGGGAGAAATGTTAACTTCTCCATGGAGAACCAGGGACTAGAAATATTTGGAAAAGATAATGGCCAGATGCCTCATACTGGACCCTCATGCTTGCCTTCCACGGTGAAGGTGTTGAGAACAATCAGGTCATGTGTCACGCGTCTCCAGACAATACCAATGAATGCTGGGTAGGGGGCACAGAGTCAAGGCCTCAGAAAGTCCTGGGTTCGTACTCAGGTCTACCACTGAGTACCAGATGGGCTCAGACATGCCCCCCGAATGTTCCGGACCTGCTATCTCGTGTTGAAAGGCAGAAGGAATGCCACACTCTGCCATCTTCAACTTCCCTTCCTGCACCAAAGTCTGGGATGGGAGTTTCCTTCCTTTGGGAAACTATGGAGGGTTTACTCTCTTTAACAAAGGAGAGAAGAAAGCATCTCAAGAAATTGTGGAGTTTAAAGGAATTATGATCTTGTTTACTGAAGACATCAAGAGCCCAAGATATATCAGAGTCTTTGCATTTGTCTAGAGGTTCGGGGTGTTTCTGAGGTCTGTTTAAACACTAATAGGATTTTAGGCCAGGATCCAGTCAGAAGGATGGTTCACAGACTCAGATAGTTGGAAACAGATTAAAAAAAAAAACAAAAAAACCAAAAAACGAAACGCCCAGATGTCCACATAGAAAATGTTGATATAGTTTAGTTTAAAAAAAAAAAATTCACACATAAAATTACAGTTAAAAAAATTCACACATAAAATCGAGTGCATAACAAAACATTATTGCCCTATAGCCCGGCAGAAAACTATAAACTCAGGTGTGTAGTTTATGATAAACATTGTATTCAATGCTACAAACGCTACACTGTTGAACATGTCTTGAAATGATTGACCTTGTAAATCACACCACTTGCTTAGACAAGTAAAATTCTAAGCCCCCTCCCTTTTCCCACACAGAAACCACAGAAAAAAAAGGAGCTTCTGTTAAATTGTAAGCTCCCCATGAAAAACACTTTTCGAATCCACAGGGAATCATGGCAATAACGTGGTACCTGCTTGTTACCTTCCTTCTCCATCACCCAGGAAAGCCCACGGCCGTACTGTTTTGCAGAATCAACCCAGCCCATCTCAAATATCTCCTCCAGGCCACTTCCACAGAAAACTGATCATCACTAAACAAATGTCAGTCACAGCTGACCCCCTGGATATGTTTTTACTTGTACTTTTGCCCCTTGCCCTCCCATGCTACCAATCCCACTGCTCAAAGTAATAACATCAAGTAATCATGCACTCTAGTTGAAGATGCCATGGACTTTTTTCTAGATCTTGCTATGAAGTGAGCGCTCACCTATTGTTTCCCTAAATGTTGTGCCTTACTCTCAAGAGACTCCAGGCTTGTTGCTCGTATATCCTTACTTTGGACCAGATCAGACCTAACATCCCTGTGGACTTGTGCTCACGCACAGTGCTCTGGACTTCCTCCTTCCTTCTCCAGAAGTCCAAAGTACTTCCTAGCTGACATCAATGTCAAAATCTACGTTACCGGCGTTGGGGGTGGGGGGGTAGGGGCAGTGGCTAGGTAGGTACAACAATGAGAGGGGAGCCTCCTATCTCTTCCAGCAATTTCCATTTCCATCGTCCTGTCCCTCTGGCTTTTAGACCAGCAGTTTTGAGATGGGGATTCTTTTTGTTTTTTAGGTTGGGTTGTCCCCAGAGGGTTCGCCAGTTCTAAAGATGATTAGTACCCAGGGAATGAGAATTTTCTTTTTCATTCACTTTACTTATATGTGAGGCTCTGGTAATGCTAACAGCTACCATGGGGCGCCAGCACAGACGCTCTCACCTGCTATGTTCTCCGTCACCTTCCCATGAACCACAGCATCAGAGAGAGGCCATTTCTATTCCTTCCCCCATCCCTCTCCACCTGCCATTTCCTTTCTTAGTCTCGTCTGCCAATGAAGGATAACCACCAACGTTGGTTTCTTCTCTTTTTTCCTTAAAAATTTTCCTTGGCTCTGTCACATACCACGTCCAAAAATGCCAACAGAGATGGGGAGAGCCCAGAGGCACCGTCAAGGGAAACATCTCAGAAGACCATCTCCCAGCCACTTGTGGTAGCAGTCATCCTGCACAGGCACGCCTTGCTGCCTAGGGTAGGAGACGCAGTCGCCGGCATTGCAGACCGTCCAAAGGAGACCGGTCGGCCAGTTTTGTGCTGGTGGTCTCAAGCAGACAGCATTTCTGGGGCTGCAAACCTAAGGGTGCCTGGGAGTTCCCACCTCCCTGATCAGCATGAAGGGGCAGAGGTCATGAGTTGATGGACAGATGTGGAAGGCCATGAATGCCTACACCTAAAAATGCCAGAGTCAAAGTTTCCAGAAAGATCTCACAGCTACAATCAACCCAGCTCTGCCTCGCATCTTTCAGGAAGCTGAGACATTTGAGAGAAGCTGTCTGAATTCTGGAAGTGCCAGTTTTTTTTTTTATTCCGCCATCTAGGCCCTGTGTTCTCAGTGTGACGTGGACTCAGCAGGGAGGGAAGACCAAAAAAGCCCACTGGGTCTTAGAGGGGTTCCGGAAGGTCAACCTTATGCAACAAGATCTTATTTTTTAATGTTTAATTCTTCTCAGTTGGGGAGAAATTTAAATGCAATTTAATGTTTTCTTCGGATGGGGGGGCAGAAGTGAAAATAAATACGGAGACACCCCGGTGTGTAGGCGCAGACGCGGCAAAGTGAGGAGGGTTGATGGAGAATTGACTTCTCTTCAGCCTGCTGGTACCCGGACTATGCCCTGAGGGATAAGCAGCAAGGGGCTGTGCATCTCCAGCTGGTGCCTGGCCTTGTTTCTGTCCTTGCTTACCCACCTGTCCCCTCCCCAGGTCACCCCTAGGTTCACCCCCTAAGGATACACTGCTCTCTACCGTGAACGTGAGCAGTTCCGATTTTTGCTTTACTTACTTGCCAAGGGCATGCAGGGTGGCAACTTTATTTGCAAAAGAGGAAAAAAAGCACAAAGCAAATACAACTGCCAAAATATGTACATTGTTGTAGAAAAGCAAAGTTCTATAAAAAGTAAAAAACAAAAACATCCCCCACCCCATCCCAGGAATATTTGACAATGAACTCATGAAGTCCTGAGATGTCCTGTCTTCCACACGGTCACCTGCTGGCATTTGCCTAGCAAGATCCCCAGGGGTACGGAGCAAGTTTAGGATGAACACACAGTACTTCTGTTCCCTAGGATCGGAACTCTAGGTTTTATCTTGTCATCCTCGCAGGAAGTCCTATAGCTTGGGCTGAGTAAATTTTGGTGTTGGGCATAAAAGAAAAGAAAGCTCCTCCGCTCATCGCCTGCCAGGAGGGACAGCAGCTACTAAAATGTCTAACTGATAACGTAAAACCTGTTTTACAAGCCTTTATCAGCCCTCCGGCTCCCAGAAGTCCACAGATGAACGCTTATCTGTGAAGATATTCTGGGAAGCCCAGACAAGCCGAGAAGTTTAACAGGAATAACAAAGTCTTCACAGCTATTGGGTGACTCCTTCTATCTTGTCTGCGGTGGGACTTCTTCCTCTGGGGCTGTTTTTAGTTGGCCCTATGTTGCCCCTGAATGAGCTACAACACGAAAAGAAAAAAAAAAAAAAAAGGCTAATGTGCTGTGGAGTTGTTCTAGAAAGGAGTCAATGCCAAGGAGTGCCTATTCCCGTAAAAAGGAGGTCTGCAAGGTGATGAGGATTGCCTCCAGGACCCCTTCCTATAGAAACCACTTTCCCAGGAGAAAAAACAAGAAAAACAGACACTGCCTGCGGGACAATGCACTTTGTCGGAGGGGGTGCTGCGTACTTTCCGAGGTAGAGTATTGTGTGATATTTGGAAGACAAGGCCCTATGCCCACGCGGGTTTAAGATGGGTGGTGCTTCCTTTGCCTTTTTAAAACAAACCTCCCCCCCCAATTTAAACCGAAGCACAGGGATTTCGCGTATGTTGTCCTCTTCTCTTTCTTTAAAAAGCAAATTTTCACATTGTAAACAGAGTGTTCTATCTTGAATTTGAGTTCTGCCCTTCTTTTCCACATCCCTAGGGAACTACCAAGGAGTCTCAGTGAACACGAGAATTCCATTTTCACAGACGAAACTGAATTCCTGCCCTTACAGTCTTGCCGGCAAATAGTTAGGAAAACAGCTTATGGACAGTATTTCCGCTTTTCCATACCAGTTCTAATGAGAAGTCCGTATTCTGAGACTCCCAGCCGGCAGCTGCATCTCTCTCCCCTTCCAACGTCCTCTCAGTGACTTAGCTCACAAGTTCTGAGCCAGTGTTTCAAATGTACACTATATACAAAGGAAGTGTCCGAGCTCCGTATTCCCAACCATCCGATCAGCTGGGGAGCCCTTCGAAGTGTTGTCCCGAGCTGGGATTCAGAACTTGAACAAGTTGATAAAGTCCTGGGGTGAGAGGGAAACGGAGCAGCTCTCTGGGTTATTGGCTGTGCACGGGTGGTCAGTGCCCTGGAAAGGAACATCACGGTTGTAGGTTGGAGTTCTCAGAAGCACCGTGTTGGCTTGTAGCCCCATGAGGCTGTGCCCAATTTCACAACATTCCTATGTCAAGAATGCCATAAGTTCTGCAAAAACTAAAGAACTGTGTGTGTGTGTACCTGTGCACAAAGAGGGTGGGAGAATTTGAAGGTGGGTGGGATGTACAAGTATACACACACACACACACACACACACACAAATAGCGGTGGAGGAAATTAAGGGCTCTCAAAGGTTTTCTCCCCAGGGACTGAATCAGTGTCCTGTACACCTTCAGTGAGGGGCTGCTGTAGGGAAGAGTAGGAAAGGAGCTGGAAGAGCTTTCGCATGGCAATGCTGGTGCCTTTGACTCTTAGGGGCTGGGCTAGGGGTCTGTGGCAGCCACCTCGAGACACCTACCTTCCAGGAAAGAATGTGACAGTGTCTGCAGAGCTGAAGGGTGTCTCCGTACTGCTCTTTCCGTGGGTAACAGCGCACAAGTTTAAAATACATCTTCTTCCAGTCCAGCTGTCCTTTGTCTGATAAAATTAATCGCTTGCGGATCTAAATTACAAATGAATACAGGTAATTGCAGACGACCGCAGGAGACTTCATCAAGAAGACGGTTGTGGTTTTATGCTTCTGAAAAGTTCTGTTCCCACCCTCTCCTTCCCCCTTTTTCATCTATGCCCTGCACTTGCCAGGGAAAAAATTGCCAAGATAGAAAGAAGGCTATTCTGAGCTCTACCCAGTGAGACAGTAGCTTTATCAATCTTTAAAAGACACAGGGGTCTGGTGACATCTTACTGGTGACCTCTACTAAACTGTATTTGGATGGTCCTTTAAAGTTTAGGTGATTTCAGTAAACACCTTCAATCTTTTCTCTGCTGTAGACTTGAGTGGTTATTTCCAGGGAGATGCAGTCACTGCTTGGCACGGTGGCTCTATTTTATATCTAAATATTAGTGGCTTCATGAACAGAACTTGTTGAACTCACACATCTATATAAAGAATGTGGGGGAAAAAAATCTGAGGCAGCATAAGGAGGGGAAACAGGCCTAGAGCTGGTGTCAGAAACCCCTAGTTCAAACTCACATTCAAGGCCAGCTTCTTTCCCTTGGGAGCCATTTCCCCAGTCTGTGGTCTGAGTCCCCTCATCTGTTTAAAGTGAGGGTCAGGATACCAACTCCACACTGGGTTGTTAGACTAAAATGAAATACTATCTATAAAAGTTCCTTAGCTGTACAATATGAAGTTAAGTTGTAAGTTACTCTGTAATTTACTTTGTAAGTTACTCTGTTACTTTTTAAAGCAAGTTGTGCAAGTGTGCATGTAGGTTAAGAATGTCCCCCCACCCCGGCCCCGGAATCACATACATGATTTAGAAACCCCTCGTTCTGTTGCCCTCTAGTCAGCTGGGAAGCCCTGGAGGCTGGGCACCCGTGCCTCGAGCTCCGGAAGAATGCCAAGGAAGCAGGAGGGTGGGGGACAGAGAAGGGGACGGAGGGACTGCCCACGGGGCCCCCCTGACCTGTCGCTCGGAGAAGTGGTACTGGCAGAGTTTCTTCCACAGCAGCCGGTCCTCACTGAGCACGTGCAGGTCGGGGGCCACCTGGCCGAGGCTGACCAGGTCGCGCCCGTCACTCAGCCTCTGCATGATGTTCAGCTGGAGGCACAGGGGCAGGTCGGTGAGGGTGAGGCCTTTGAAGGCGGGCTGTGGGGAGAAAGCGGATGTTAGGCAGCACTTTGCAGGGGTGGGGTAGGGGGACGGGACTGGCGGGCCGCAGATCACCAGGTGACACTCTCCAAGGATCCAGCTGTCCCCTCGGCCTCCATCCTCAAGCTGGCTGACGGATCCCAGATCCAGAGGCGAGATTCTCAGCGGAGACCCACAGGAATAGCCTGGACCAGCTGAGGCTAAATGGTGCCAGAGGGATTTTCCCCCGTTTCACAAAGCATTATCCTTTCAACGACTCTCGAACGGCGCATGCTGGATTCTTGTGCTCCGTTCAATTCACTCACTGACCAGATTCGCTACCTTCCTAAAGGGCTCTGTGCCTTGGACAGAGCACCAGCCCCTGACCACGGATCCCTCCAGGCAGCGTTTCTTGCCTAGGCCCAAACTCGATGCCCCAGGCCTCCGGCTGTCCCCTCACTGCTCTGCCCGTCCAAACGGTGCTCTTCTTCAGGTCCAGCTTGTACCTATTTCTTCTGAAAGGGAATTTCTTTTCTGCCTTTTGTGGGTACCCCAGGCCTCTGACACATCTTCCTGGAATTCTTATGTTCTCTTCCAGGGACTTTTTGAACCAGCCCCTTTATGTTATGTAATGCTAACTGCTTCCAAAAGGAAACTTGAATGGAACATTCCTGCTGGAATGTAAGGTCCATGGAGGCAGGACTTTCTTTTTTCACTGCTGTGTCCTTTGTGCCTAGAAGACCACTTAGCATATAATAGGTACCCAAAAAATATCTGAGGGGTGAATGGAACCCTCATAATCAAGTAGGTAAAAAAAAACCAAAAAGACCCTGTGCTTGTTGTGTATATTTGTGTATCTGTGTGTGTGCATGCATGTGTGTGTGTGTGTGTGTGTGTATGCGTGTTTCCTTTAGGAATGACTGGTCCAGAACCCTTTGTAAATGCCTCCATCTTTAGAACATCTCTATTCAAACCTAGGGGATCCGTGGACTATTAAAAAAAAACAAACTCTTTGTGGGTAATACATTGGCAATTAATCAGAAGCGGCTTCTGCTTAACCCTGAACTTATATTTAATTATAATTTTATATTTATGATTTAAATTTTGATGGGCTCATGTTACCCGCCCACACCTGGACCCTTGAAGGTGGGGCCTAATTTCATATCCCCTGCAGACGAGCCCAGCACAAACAACCTCTTTTGAGGGCCTACCGTGGCCTGGCACTGGGGTTGGAATGGGTTCATTCGGCTGGTGAGAGACTCGGAAACGTAAGCAAAAGCAAACAATTAGAGAACAGTATGTTACGTGCGTCAAGTCAGCACAGAGTGCTCTGGGAACCGTCCGGACAGAGGAGGTCCTCCCTAGTATTTACTGATAGGTCCTGAACAGCAACCCGCGTTGCCATCTGGGTAAGCAGTCGGCCAAGTCCCTTATGACTGGGGTTCTTTGTTCTTCTCATGCTAGACCTGGGTGAGCTCTTGATTTTGGACTACGGCCATTTAGCTCAGTGCTCTGTCACCTCCAGGGGTCACAGGAAAAGATACAGGATGAAGAATCCCTTCCTTAGAGCTCAGGGGAAAATATCCCGTCGATGGGTATTGAGTCCCATCCTCAAATTTTTAGGGAACTATTCTGTTCAAGGCACATCAGAGCCCACACGCACAGGATTCCAGGGGGAATGTGTGGTTTCACCAGGCCCCACCTGTGTCCCCTGCAGAGCAGGACAGGTGTGTAGAGGGAAGGTGGGAAGAAGCATGGGGCCTCGGGAAGCTGGACTAAGGAGAAGAATGGGAGGTGGCATGGGAGGAACACCTGACGGACAAGCAGCAGATGTGGACCTCAGGTGCCCTTGGGAACTCTGGGTCTCAGTTTCCCCACGTCCAAAATGAATAGGCTTAGAAGACTATGAAGGTCCCTTCTGGCTCCAGCGATCTCAGATCTGGATCAGCTCCAGCCTCTTAACTCATCAGAAGTGACTATGACCTGACAGTTTAAATCATTCAAGCTGCTGGCCTGAACTTTAAGTTGTTTGCAAAATTCAGGACTTTTGCCGGACCGTGGAACGCTCTAGACCTATTTGTCGTTTATCATCTGCTGCTGATCATATAAGCTAATAAAACTGCCATGACATTTTCTTTTTGTTTCCAGTACTTCAAAGCATCTACTTTTTTGGTTAAAACTCCCAGGCCAATTATTACATTGAACTCCTATTAAAGTCCACTTGGCAGAGTTCACGCTCAAATTTTCAAACCTGAACTTTTCCAAAATCCTTGCCCAGACCCCATGCTGAGCCCTTGCTCCTGATAAATGGTTAACTGCTTGCATGCCTTCTTTTTGAATATAAACATATAAAAGAACAATAAGTCACTCAAGCATTTGGCTATAATCCTTCTATGGCCACCCCTGCCCTCTATCTGCTTCAAAACCCTGCCTTACCCACAGTGATTCTTACCCCAAACCCTGCCTTACCCACAGTGATTCTATGTGACTTCTCCCCCTTCCAAGCCAGTTCTCTTTGCCTTTTTCCCCTTTCGTCCTTTATTCTATTAATTATTTTTGCCAATAAAAATTGGCTCCATAGAATTAGATATGAAATTTAGAAGGAAAACAAGATTATATGCCGGGAAGATACTGCTAGAACTTTGGCAGATAGAAAGCAATTACTGTAAATGTCACCTTAACATTTTTGTATAATAACATACTTCTCTTTAGTCCAAGCTGTTAGAAAGTCGGCTTTAAAATATAGTGCAGACTGAAGTAATTAAGTCCTGTTTTTCTCTCTCTTGATCTTTCTTTCCTCTGGAGAGTTGGGCATTTGTGTGACAAGTTCTGTGGGCTCCATGGGTTCCCATCACTGCTCTCAAGATCATGGGGCTCAGAGCGAGGAGGGCTGGGAAGGAGGGCAGGGGAGGAGAGTTCAGTGGGGAGAAGAGCAGCCTCTGAAGGCAGGCCGGGGTTCAGTTCCCCTACTACTATATCTTACCTCTGCTGAGGCACCAGCCACACTGTTCTCTTTTTTTTTTTTTCCCCTACGATTTCTTTGTTTTAGAGAGAGGGAGAGGAAGAGAGAGACTCTCAAGTAGACTCTCCTGAGCAGGGAGCCTGACGTGGGGCTCGATCCCACAACCCTGAGATCACGACCTGAGCTGGGACTAAGAGCTGGATGCTCAACTGGCTGAGCACCCCCCCCCCCCCGGCGCCCGCAGCCACACTATTCTTAACTACTCAGCCTGATTTTTCTCACTTACAAAATAAAGAAAAGCACATCTCACAGTGTTGCTGGCAGAGCTGATGAGATGACGCATGGAAGTACTTAGCATAGTGCCCAGTAGAAACTGGCTATTATAAAGACCCCTACTTACAGTTATTCACTGGATGAGTTAATTAATACATGTGAAAGACTTAGAAGAGTGTCCGCCACAGAGAGAGCCCTTTGTAATAATAAGAGCGGACACATTTAAAGACTTATTACATGCCAGACACTGTTCCAAATATTTTCTATATGTTAGCTTATTAAATCTTACACCAGGGCTAGGAGATAGGCATTACTTCCCTTCAATCATTCATTCACTCATCTAAAACTTATTGACTGCCTTCTGCTCTGTGCATGGCAGAGAGATGAGCAGGGAGCAAGACGGCAGTCTTTCCTGGCGGCGCTCATAAGCCAGTGGATGGACAAAGGGAAGCGGAATCACGTTTGAGATAATCTCAGATGGCAACAGATCCTCTGAGGAAGGTGAGATGAGAGTGTTTTCAGAGGATTGGATGGTCCGGGGAGGCAGGACCAAGCTTGGCATGGGCAGAGAACAGCTTGGCCAGACAGGAGTGCCAGGAGCAGAGGGGAAGCTGAGATGAACTTCAGTGTTTGATCTGTCCTGCACGGGATTGCATTGGATGTAAAGGATTTACAAAAAGCTGGATCACTGAATACATAGTTGGAAGAAAGCTGCATTGAAAAGAAGTTTGGAAACCAATGACGTTAAGAAAGCTTTGCCATTCGAGGAATAAGGAGTTCTGGCCCGAGTCGCTGGGCTTCTCTGGTCCCCACTCCTGTCTCACCATATGAAGGGTTATAGGAATGACAAGGGCCACCTCCTCCCTGGCGTGTTTGTGGATCAGTTAAGGGGGGTTCTAGGTAAGAGAGCCCATGGGCGTACAAAATACGTGAGCAGCTGTGGCCAAGGAGACTCCTGGGATGTGGACAGAGGGAACAGAGGCAAACTCTGGGCAAGTGTGATCCTCTAAACAGTGTGCCAACGTTGCTGGAAGGAAGAGGCCCTTGGGATAGATGGGACTTGCTCATTTAGATCCCTGGCTGGAAACTTCTCTCCTGGGCTTAGATCAAAAGAGAAAGGATTAACGTCCAGGCTGCGTATAACACCAGAAATCAGGTAGAAGGTCTACGTGAGTTTTCTGTGAGAGATAAGCTGGGAATCTGATCTCAAATTCACATCATCAAACTATGCCTACACTTAAGAGAACGGGGTAAATTATTAGAATAAATTCGGTAAATGTTCAGAACACAAGCTCTTAAAATAATCAAACAATTGAGATAACTTTTCTGGGCTTGTGCTGTGCTCTGTGTGTGTGTGTTTAAGTGTGGGAGTTGTAGCCGAAGTGATTCCAAGGAAGTCACATCATTCTGAAGCTTCTCATTATTCCCTTTGTTTCAGAGCTTAAGAAACTCAGAGGTTATTAATAGCCAAATCAAGGTCACTGCATTTTGAAAACTTCATATAAGTATTTAAAAGAGGTCAAAGAGGTTTCTTCATGTTACTTTCCCAAGAGATGGGGCAGACCCAGACGTTATCTGCTTGGGCCCCGGAACCACTTAGAGCAGCAAGGTCCGTGATAAGGGAGGCGGGCGCCTCCTGAGCCGTCTAAGTGTGCCTGTCCGTCAGCGAGTGGCAGGAGGGCAGGGCGCTGTCTTTCTTACAGTGTTTGTGGGCCTCAGTCCTCCTGCTCGCTATTAAAAGCATAAGAGCTGAGAGCCAGGTTAGTTTCTAAAAGCCAAAAGACACTACTGATAATAGGAGGGCCTCTCGGGATATTTTCCACTTTGAGCGAGAATCGCTCTTTTCTTCCCCTACATGTAATGTTCACAGTCTGGAACCAAAGGCTTCCTTGTCATAATTCTTAATCACTGGAAGAAGAATTTGCAAAGGTTGGTGGCGGCCTTCCAAGCCATGGCCGTCCCAGCTCTGTCGTATTCAAGGCAGCGTCCCTGCAGCTGTGAAGCACGCGTCCTTCGGGAGGAAATGGGAAAAGCGAGCGATCCACGCCCCCCCCCCCCAATCCAGGCTTCCAATTTTCCTGCCACGCTGCAATCCGAAGACTTTGACCCCCACCCCTTCTCTATTGGGAATTCCCAGCCCACTCTCGGCGCCCGGGAGAGGGCATCCGATCGGGACAGTCCACACTCTTCCTTCACCAGGGAAGATCTACAAAGTCCTGGGAGGCCGCCCAGCCTCTCGGGGGAGGCAGCGGCGGAAGTCCTTACCGCCGGAGGGAGGCGGGCGTTGCTGCTTACCCGGGTGATTTGGATACTGTTCAGCTGCTGCTGCCAGTGCAGAATCGTCTCCATCCGGTATACCCACATGTTGATGTTCCCGACCAGCACAGACTTGCCGACTCTCTGCACCAGCGTGCACAAGGACGTGTAGAGGGTCTGCAGCAGCTCCCTGATGAGCCTGATGTTCTGCTGGTCTTCGAGGACTTGAGTGG